CGACGACGACGGCCACGACGACGAAGACGATAACGACGACGACGACGACGATGGCCGCCGGCAAACCATCATCGTGATATCATCATATCCACCACCACCATCATTATCATCATCATCGTCATCATCAGCATCATCATTATCATATTCATCATCATCAGCAGCAGCAGCATCATCATTACCATCGCCACGATCATCAGATTCGTCATACTCATCCTCCTTCTCACCACCACCATAATCAGCAGCAGCATCATCATCAAGATCGTTCTCGTCCTCGTCATCAGTGTCAGCATCATCCTCAGCCTCATCATCTTTATCATCATCGTCATCCCCATCCCCACCATCATGGTCATCATCAGAATTATATTATTCTTCATCCCCATCATCATCATCACCATCATCATCAGCAAAATGATAGTAATAGTAAAACGAGCACGAATATATCGCGAATATGATAATAAAAATGATATGAATAAGAAGAATGATAATAATGATAATTGTCAGCATCATGATCATCATCAGCAGCATCAGCATCAGCATCATCAGCATGAGCATCAGCATCCTCATCATCATCACCATCATCGTCATTACCATCATCATCAGCAGCAGCATCATCATTATCATCATCGTCATGGACGGCGTCAGCATCGGTATCCATCCCGTTATCATACCCGATATCAGCATCGTAATCAAAATCGTAATCATCATCATCAGCATCATCATCATCATTACCATCATCATGTGCATCCTCATCCTCATCCAAACTCTCATCGTCAACATCATCATTACCATCGTCAGATTCATCCTCCGATTCGCCATCATCATCATGACAATCATCATCATCGTCATCATCATCTTCCCCCTCATCATCACAATCGTCGTCATGTTCATCAGCATCACCGTTCCCATCTTCATCATCACCATCATTAGCATCATCAGCATCATCGTCATCAGCATCGTCATCGTCGTCGTCCTCGTCATCGCCATCGCCATCGCCGTCATCAATCATCATCCTCATCATCATCATCGTCCTCATCTTCGTTATCACCATCCCCCATCATCATCCGCAGCAGCAGCATCATCAGCATCGACAGCATCATTGCCATCAGCATCACCGACATCATCATTCACGACACCATCATCGCCATTCTCGCCATCACCTTCATCATCATCCCGACCCTCGTCGCCATCCATCGCCATCACCCTCGGGCGGACCCGACAGCGGGGCTACCAAGGGCATGCGTATGGGGCCACGACGGGCGACTGCCAGCGGGGGCCACGAAGGGCATATAATGCGGGGCCACAATGGGCAGCGACGGGGCCACTGAGGGCAGCAACGGGGCCACGAAGGGCAGCGAGCGAAGGCGACCGCGGAACCAGTACGGGCAGCGAGGGGCATCGAATGCGGGCGAAGGGCAGCGAGCGGCGACTTCAGTCCCTAACGAGCTGGTCGGACGGGCAGGCCCAGACGGGCGGGTCGAGCGGGCGGGTCGTCGAAGCGTAACTTCTGAATTGAACCGCCAGGCAATATGTAGCGGGAGCGCGATTCCTGAGTGTCGAGGAGCGGCATCTGAATAAATTGTGAGGAAGTATCAAGCGGGAGCCGCGATTCGGTGGTAAGTTGCGAAGAAATCCCAAGCAAGAGCGCGATTCTTCAATGAATTGTGAAAAGTATCAAGCGGGAGCCGCCATCCGGTGGTAAATTGCAAGGAAGTCCCAAGCGAGAGCGCGATTCTTCAATAAATTGTGAGGAAATATCAGGCGGGAGCCGTTGTTGTTGTAAACCGGGGGCCAACGACACAGTTTGACCCTCAAGACTTTCCCTCATAAAAAACAAGGTGCGAGGACCGGGAAGGGCACTTCAATCAAAAAAAACAATGTGCACCGGACAGGAGGATCAGCAATAATTATTCTTCAGAAATCAGAGTTCAACAACAACAACAACAACAACAACAACAACAACAACAACAACAACAACAACACTAACAACAACAAACATAATAAGAATTATTAACAACAATAATAATGACAACAATAAAAATAATAACAAAACAAACACTGCCAGAACCAAAATGATCAAACATAGTCGAAGAATCGCCCCCAGACTATTCTTCCTGACTGTTCTTGCATATTCTCCCTGACGAGGGACATGCCCGACTTAACCCTGACACCCCCTTGCGCGTGCCGCCGAGCAGAGCCCCCCGCAAACAGCCCGACCCTCCTCGTGAGGCCGCGGTGCCGGCCGGTCGATGCGCAGGTCCGCGCCCGTGTCGTCGCAGAGCTGCCGGATGCGGGCCCCGCCCTTGCCTCCAGGGGCGGGGGACATGCAGGTCGGCCTCCGACGAGACAGGCAACACGGACAGCAAGGATGAGACACCTTCGCTGGCCGCGCCCCGCCCGAGAAGTGTGGGCGCGGCCTTCCAAGGCGCTTGAAGCCTCATCGTGCATCCTGTCCACCGCTGTGCCTGGGACGCACATGGACGTAATAATACTAGAGATGTGT